AWKAWAAWWAYSKAWTTTTTTTCAGCCATCTACAATGTATTGTACAGTAACTTAACATTCATTGTACTTCTAGATATCAGGAACAAAGGCCGTCAACTGGCTGGGTTTAGTTAGTGACAGTGATGACAGTAGTGACGAGGAAACATTTGATGCTAAACCTCAATTTGAAGGGAAATCAGGCCAAAAGGTATTCAGTCATTTTCAMTAAGGAAATGTAGTCCTTTCCCATGTCGGTTTTATTCGGAATAAAAGTCAGAAATTGGTTTTGAGTCTAGGCTTTCGTTTAGAAAAAAATACAACAACAACAGCAACAACATCAGAAAAACGGATCTGGGAGACTATTTTTACGATATAAATACATGTAATCCAGAAACAAAGTTTCTCATCGTACTTTGATCCAATCTCGAGCCCAAAGGCTTCACGTATAACTGCCTATCGTAGTTTGCGTGCAGTATTTAATGTAATATTATGTCAATACTTTCAGCTGTTTCAGTTACAAAAGACGTACAGAGGTGACAGTAGATTTCAGTTGGACAAAAGATTCATCGATAGTGATGATAATGATGATATAGAGGAAGATATAACTGTTTCACGTGAAAAGGAAGAAGATACCGATGACGTCACTATTGATGAAGATGAGCTGACTAAACAGTTATCCCAAGAAAAGAGCATGGAGATGTCAGTCTTGCAAGGAATCTTAGGAGAGAACTTTGGCAGTAAATACAATACCAGTACACAAAAGCATACATTCAAGTAAGTGCTTTTGTAATAGTAGTAGTAGTAGTAGTAGTAGTAGTAGTAGTAGTTGTTGTTGTTGTTGTTGTTGTTGTTGTTGTCGTTGTTGTTGTTGTTGTTGTCGTCATCGTTGTTGTTGTTGTAGCTGCTGTTGTTATTTAGTTACACGGAGAAGTTTGGAGAAATGAATGTCTAATAAAAACCCTAGTTTTCAATTGAGAAATATCTCTGTCAACTCTACTTAAGCTTTGTGTTTCACCATTTTAGAATTACCCTAATATACACCGTGTCCTGCGTACAGTTGAGCGAAAATCCGCTTTTTCTGATCGTGCGCCGGTATTTATGTTCGATACAACGCAGGCTATCTATTAGATGATTAATGAGGTTATTATTTTCAGAGACAGCAGTCTCCTGCGATACGATCCAACACGAGAAGATCATGCYCAATATGAACAGACTCCAAAAAAGGACAGCATCAGTGAGCCTGCTGTTGAAGAAAGTCAGCCCAAGACACCAGTTGACATGCGTAGTAATGTACCGGAAGTCGCAGTTGATAAATACTATGACGTCAAAACTGATGCGCTGACCGAAATGTTTAGTGGGAAGAAAAAGGTAACTATTTGTAAAAGAGCACAATAACTATCCAGAATTGTTTCATTATTTCAACAATTTCCATTTCCATTTCCATTTCTCCTTTCATTCATTAGTTATTTATCCATTTTTTCTATCTATTTATTCTTTTACTGTTATTTATTTCAAATAGGACGAAACACCCAGTACATTCACGTTCTTATCAAATCAAGATGACGAGGATGAGTCATCAAGTCCCATGGAATGGGGACAAGCCGAAGTACTGCAATCTAAACCATGGAATCCAGTCATGTTACCGTACGACAGCAGTGGAGACGAACAAGAACCCGACGAGGTCATGGAAGACTCTCAGAAAGATGACCATTCTTTACCAGATGAACGTTTCTTCTTTCATTTTGGTGACTCAGAATTGGAAAGCTCAGTTTATGGTAAGTTACCATGGGTTCCTTGTTCCTATTGGTCTACTTTCTTTACTCCTCTCATTCTATAAACTCCTACTTAGCCTAGTTTCATCTCTTTACTCCGACGAAGTAAGTTGTTCACCCACTTTTTTACGGTGTTAAATTTATCTTTTTACACAACTGTTTCTTATGGTAAGTTAGTTATGGTTCTGATCCTTAGTCCAGAACTGGCGAAGYGCAAAGTTTGACACTTCTGTAAGCAATACTATGTCCAATTTTATTCTTATTCTAGGTCAAGAAAACCCTTTTTCGAGAACAATGACTCTTGAAGAACTCAATGAACACTGGGTGAAAGTCAGATCTGAACTGACTCAGGATTACAAGAAGAAGCATAAAGATGCAATGCGAAGACACAGCAAAATGGCTGCCAGGAGAGCAAGGACGAGATAGAGAAAGCTTACGCGAAGAGGTTTATTGTTGAAGACAGTCTCGTAGATAGCTTGTCGGCAGAAAGAATGCTCACTGTGTAGGGGAAATTTTAAGATAGAAAGAAATGGTTAGTTCGTTCATGATGAGGAAATGAGACAAGGAAGAAGGTATGGAACAGTTATAGTGTAAAAAGGATACATTCATGAATTGAACACGCAAAATATGTATATTTCTGCGCAAGTTTTATTTGCGCCATTTTCTTTTTTCTGTAACAAAACGGCGTAAAATTCAGGATGGCGCGCAGTAGTAATTTTTCCAAAATATATCGTTAAAACGAGAGAAACCAACATTTTGCTGTAATTCCTTGATTTACTCCAACAAKGGATGTCTCCAGGAGCTTCAGCCATAAACATTTTTTGCTTTGTGTTTTTGAATGTAACCACAGTCTAGTTTGAACGCAGCCAAATTTCCAACGGCGTATCAGTTAACAATAAATATCTTTACGAAAAGGAACAAGATTTTATACAATTCAGTAATATATTATGTGTACCTCAAATAGAATTGGTTTTATTAATAAATTAATTTGAGAAACGAACGAGAAATGAACAAGAGAACTTCAGAGTAAGGCTTTTATTATAGAATCAAAAATCTCAATGTTTCCTACAATCAATCACAACTGAGTTTATTATACGTCTTGTTTCTTGTTATGGTTTATTTGGTGAAACTTCCAAACTACAGTATAAATCCATACTAACGTGTTTGTATGGGGGTTTCAAAGTGTGTAAGTCAGCTAAGAAATTTTATCCCGCTAGAGTTCCCTCAAAAGTTTTAACACTAATTATCTACAATTATTAGTAAATAAGAATAAATATTATTTTAAAATAGCTAGACGATGCCTACAAAAATAACTTTATTCCGGTATTTGGTTACACACATTTTCTTGCCATGAAGCCTCTTCGAGGTTATTAAAGGGACATGGTCCACCAGCATGCAATGCGGTCGTGTTTTAGATTTTTCATATATGGAAAATGAGGTGACTTCGAATATCCACTCGCAATCTGTTTCCATCCATCGGGTTTTCAAAAGGTCGAATCTTATACAGCATCTCCATTCATATAGCATAAAGGGATAATAAAGAGTAAGTTTTTGCTTATATTATGATGTAATTTTATTTTCAAACATGAGCAAAAGCTCGAAAGGGATGCTGGTGGATAATGTCCCTTTAATTGGTCAAAGAATCAGACAGAATTGCTGCGTTAAGAATGATCGTTCAGAAGAATACGACAGTATTTATGGTAGTCTTTCTGGCTTTTCTTATTATGGCACTACAGGTATAGTCATATACATTTATGAATTAAGTTTCTATGTGTATATATGTATTTCGAGGTACCCTCTATAGCTATATAGCAAATAAGCATCGCTTTATGCTACACAGTGGATCATACACCACACATACTTGATAAAACGAAAATAGAAAACAATGCATTCCATAACTTTGCAATATTCCACTGTTGATCGTGCATGTCTTATTTATTATTTGGCGATTTWGTTGTCATGYTCGGTATTTCCTGTGTGGAAAAAGTTGAGCAAGTTTCTTGAAATCTATGTTTAGTATGAAAAATAGAAGATCAATTATAGATCCCGAAAGCTATTTCTATAATAGATTTGACTCTTCATTTTTGGAAGCAAAGCAGTTTCTCTTCACGTTTTTSWACGACATTGTTCGTGTATTAAGTTCAAGAACCTTGATGGGCCTTCATGTTTGACCTGATCCATTTCAAGTAACTACCAATGTTCACATAGGCAGTATGACTGTAATCTCTATGGCAYCTCTTGGAAAACGTATTCAAACCCCAGCTCAACATTCCACCCATAATCCACCTCTTCAAACGAGGATTCTGCGCATGCTTGGTAGAAAACATGAGAGGCGATCCACTGTCGCTTATYCACGTGACTTGARTGCTGGAATACCCAGCGCATAGTAGCTTACTGCTGTCGTACGTRCTCTGAGCCCACGAACAGCGATGTCGACGGGTCAMCGTCACAAGGTTTTGTCTCAAGTTGCCATGYATTTTATGATTGACATTCTTGCCCCATCCTATTATAACGCCTTTGTTTCGTCTGGTTACTAAGCTGCGGGTTTCCTGTCTCGTAGGAAGACAAATAGGCAACACATTTTCTGTGAAGTTTACTGSCTGAGATAATTGTAACATTGCGATGTTCGATGACAACATATTCAAATCAGCTTTAAAGTTATTATTGATGACAATTCGCTTGACGTTTAGTAGTGTGGGGTTAGGCTTTCCTTCGCCTCGGAGATYTGCYCCAAGCTCTACTTTAATGAACTGTGGCTGTATCTTGTAAGGGCCAAGGTGAACACAGTGTGAAGTCGTTAAGATCCAGTCTTTGTCAATTAATGTGCCCATACAGCCTTCAATATCGCCAAACGACTCAAAATGAAGCAAAACACTCCATGGCCAACTTCCCGACACTGCGTCTTGCCAACCTCGGCGTTTTGGTGTCTTTGCCTTTAYCGCAACACCACAMCCTGAAAGAACATCGACATAAAACACTCGCCATTAATGATGCAGTCATCAGTTGATTATCTTCGTTAGATTACGTATTTATCATTCACATTGTAATCAGCGTGCAACACTAACACAGTGCCCTATACGGATATTGTTCCAATGCTAGTAATTTCTTTAAGTTGTGCTCGTGCAATTCACGTGCCATTATAACTGTCAGTGACTTATCAAAGCACAAACTCTCAAGGGATATTATTTCGCATAAAAAATGACTAAAAGGTAACTTCTCTCACCGGGGGCCAGCTTTCTCTTGTTACAAGAATGTCCGTCGATAGCCTTGTGGTATCCAGTCTTACACGAGCAAATGAAGCTTGAAAAAGAACAKAAACGAGTCAAATGATTGACGTACCTTACGTAAAGTTTACAATATGAGCGACCGTATTGTAAATGTAGTTATAAAACTCATTAATATTCATAAGGCAAAACACAATAGAAATCATAGTCTATGAAGAGAGTTGTATATTACATACAGATCGCCCGCTCATATTGTATATATTACATACAATCACGAGGCGAATAGAAGTTCTTGTGTTGTTTGATACGTTATACTTATCKAATTATACCAACATACCTTCCTACAGTATTTGTACAGTTGTGTTGACATTTGTTCATAGAAGCCGATGCACATTCATCAATATCGACACATTGTCTTTCGTTTTGAAGCTTGAAACCAGCACGACATCCACACTGGTATGAGCCCACGGTATTAATGCACAGGTGTTGGCAGTCTCCCGTTCCACCGTTCACGGCACATTCGTCGACATCTTGACATTTTCTTGATCTGTTAACACGTTTAATTGAATYTTTGTAATCGCACCAATAACTAAGATGGCCCGACGTTAATTGGCCCCCAAAACAATCTTAAGAAGATTTTAAAGGGCAGAAGGTAATTTATTAGGATAAATTTGTAGAAGAAGCTACAGTGTTTAAATAACGATATGGTAACCATAAAGATAATAGCTCTACTTACGTTTTGTTCAATATATATCCTTTAAGACACTCGCAATGGAAAAAACCAAAGGAATTGACACATTTGTGAGGGCCACACCCTCCATTGTTTACAGCACATTCGTCGATATCAAGACACCCTGTCTTATTGACGTTGGCTACGAAACCAGGGTCACAGTCACATTCGTAGCTAAACAASAAAAGCGTGAATATGATTTTAATAGGTTATCCTTGTTTACGCACGACTTATACGCAAGACTAAGACACACAAGATTGTACGTTAACTAAAGCAAGAAAAATATACCAAAAATTAACTTAATGTAAGATTATACGTAATCGTAATGTATCCATAAGGTAAGATTGAAAGCTTAATGCGTAATCTGACTTAATATAGCAGAAGAAATAATCACGTAAGTCTAGACGTAATTGCAGTGAAATTATAACTCTAACGTAACGTATGACTGTCATTTAACGTAGCCGTATACGCACGTACCTTCCCGGCTTATTGATGCAGTTAAAGCATGATGGYATACCTTCCATACATTCATTAATATCCAGACAATGTGTTGGTTTCATTACGTCAGGCATATAGCCTTGAGGACACTCGCATCGGTGACTTCCAGGCATGTTGACACAGATATACTCYCAGCCGCCATTATTCACCGCACACTCATTAACATCTGATGAAAGATAGTGGAAGAAATAGTATACTTTAACGATAAAAACTGCATTAACAACAAAATAGTTGAATAYAGTTAAAGACCTTTTTTGACATCATGGGACYCRATTGTMTATTCAYCATGTCTGTGTCATCACAAACCCAGGACTATGACATAACGCGGGTGCCACGAAACTTAGATGCAACATGCGTAAAAAGTAAGTTTGTAAACCATACGAAAATCCAAATGTTAGTCTGTCAGCATGAAAATCACATTGTGTTCAGTGATCAGTAGTTCATTCATTCGTTCACCCATACGTTTTCATTCATTCATATCTTCATTTCTTCACTAATGCCGGATAACACTATGTGCATTAAACGGCTACTTGGACGAAAATTACGAAACATTAGGAAAGACTTTGAAATCAAATAGAACTATCCATATGGGTCTAATAATCATGAAGCAACAAATTTCAAGAAGATATTGATACAAATCCTTAATAATTTAGGCAAAAAATGTTGGAGTGAATGACGTCATTTACTCAATCCTTTTGTTCTTACATCTTTTGAATCAAAAATTGCTCTGATGTGGGATTATTCCAAAACAAATATTTTCCCGCAATAGTGTTTTTAATAGATATAAATGAGTCATATATTTGTATTGCTTGAAGTTTTGAAATAAGAGCATTTTCATGCAAGTAGCACTTTAACTATTATTTAAACACGAAGTCGTTAAAAAAGCGTCATGGTACCTTGACATGTTTTATTATCGGCTCTAAGCGTGTAACTTTGTGGGCACTGACACTGAAAACCGCCTGGTAAATTCTTACATGAGTGGCTACATCCCACATTACCAAATGAACATTCATCAATATCTGCAAATACAATAAACAAGATATTCAATTCAAACGTGGAAAAACAGCGGCATGTTTGGTGCAATCAAATATAGCAAAATAATTGAAAAAAGATGGTCTTTTTCGCTGATGACAACAATCACTTTTGTGCCGTGTTCCCCTGGGGCAGAATATCTTTAAAAGCTCTTCTTGCTTTGTCAACGGTTCGCTATATAGATAAATAGATAGTTAATCACCGACGTAATTGGAATTGCAGATCGAGGCTGAATTGCTCTGATAATTGCTCTGATAATTGCTCTGATAATTGCTCTGATATACCATATAATCTACAAGTCCTTTTCTTTTATTTCTTTTAACTATTAAAGTGGTGTAATGAATACAATTTTAAAGGGGTAATAGTACGAAAATCGCTCAATGAAAATTGACTATAATGGAAGTTAACTTATGATGAAGTGAGTGCAGACTAGGTTATTAACTTTTAAAAAAAATTCTGCATTTTTATCTGGCTTTGCGTAGTTTTAAAAAACGTTGAGAAAAAAAGGTTTAATGGAGTGACGTCACTTACTCATAATTTAAATGTTTATAATTTCATACATTTTGATATTCCTTCTATGAATCTAATATATCGTGTGTTGCTCTGTGTTCCTAGCTCCTAGAGGTGAAATATGAAACTCCAAACGCTTTTCAAGTCATTAAATTTTCATTTATTTTTATCATAGTCCCCTTTAASATTCAAAATATAATAATGTGTGATATACTGATGAAAAAGAAAAAAATGTGCAAAATAAAGATAAAAACAGTAATAAAAATGTATTTCACGGGCTTAAAAATTTAAAGCTACTCAATCAAT